ACAGAAAGAAAATTGGTCAAGCAATAGCTGTGACTCATCCACAGGGCTGACACTGACAAAGGATCAGCAAACTGCAGTATAGGGTTTCAGGATAAATCCTGAGGGGATTTGACTGAGCTTATAAGATATGAAAGCTACATTTTTAGTTATATAGGTCTGACTTTATCTTGGTCAGAATGATACAGCAGAAAAGTATAAAAATGAAGTATAAAAAGTAAAGCCATATTAATATGCTGAGCTATAAAAGGCTCAAGTCAACAACTGATATCGTCAGTCTTATGGAAAACCCACTACTATTATGGACTACTGGATTATATTAGAATATTTTACTGAATTCACATACCTATAATATTTAAATGGAATACCCTTCTCTGACAAAACTAAACAGAGAAAGGGGATAGAAATGAACAACCATTTTGTATCTATATATTCAAATTAGTTACAGTAGATATACAGCTACAGTCTCTTAATTCAATGAATGGATAGATTTGTTCTAATAGTGTTTGTGGACGGGATATCATGTCTACATCTTGTACAATGAATAACCACTAAGACAACAATATGCAATGTCTTAAGTATTGAAACTGTCCTACCAATTGGTTTTGAAACTGTCTCATTGCTATTTGTTTCTCAATACAATTATTTAAAAACATTTAAAAGTAATTTAAAATCAGAATTGCATTTGGTTGTATAGATCTATCTCTAACTTTTCTCTGTCAATTTAATATAGAAAAAAATTATATTCTAGGAGCCATCCACTTCCTTTAGAATACTCACAAATAATTTTGCAAGTATTTCTGACACAGAGTGAAAAACTTAATTGTAAACCACACCTTGCTAGTCACCAATGCTTTACTGGCTTAGTAACTAACATGTAGAAAGGAATATAGTAAAGAAGTGCATTGAATTAATTCATAAAATGAAATGAAGCAGAAGTCATACTATTTCAGATCTGTAAATTTTCTCACACAGATCACTATAATAAGTTCATGTCTAATCTGTGAAAAGTATCCACCACATACTTTA